CGCCCCAATGCCCAACTCCGGGAAATCCGTAACCGTACGCGGACCCCTCGCAAGCACCATGTCCGACCTGGAGCTTTCCTACCGCGTGCTCGCCCAACCAGATCCATCAACCTATCCCTCGTCGCTCTTCTCTCCACCACGCAAGTTCTCAGCCCAGCGCAATAAAGTGCTAGGCGTACACAAACAATGGATCGACCGCTCCGACCCCATAGTCCAAGACTCGTTCTATCAAGCCCTCAAATACTTTGAACACGAACTCGGTTACAAAGTCATCGACATATCCATCCCCCTACTCACCCCCGGTCAACTCGCCCACGCAATGACCATCATGGCCGAAGGCGCAGCCGCCCACCGCTCCTCCATCTACGCCCTCACCCCCGCAAACCGCATCCTCATGAGCGTCGGACGTCAAACTCCTGCTACTGACTTTTTACTTGCCCAACGCCTCCGCAACCTCATCATGCAGCATCTCGCCGACCTCTTTCGCAGCCACCCAGGCCTCGTGATTGTTACGCCTACAACGCCGAATGCGGGCTGGCCAATCGATGAGGCGGAGCTCTCGCATGGCGTTACGAATGGCAATATGCAGATTCGCAATATGGAGTATGTGTGGTTGGCGAATTTTACCGGTGTGCCGTGTATTCAATTTCCGGTCAATTATGTGCAGGGTGTCAAGGGAGAGGGGCTGGTGCCGATTGGGTTGAGTGGACATGGGGAGTGGGGGAGTGAGGATGCGCTGATTGAGTTTGGGTTTGATGGCGAGAAGTGGTTGCATGAGGCGAGGGAGGGGGGAAGAGCCATGCCTGAGGCGTGGGTTGATGTGTTGAAGTTTTGATTGATATCTAGGTGGCTATATAACGTAGCATTGTGATCTGATGAATTCTTTTTTCTTTGGCAAGTAGATACGATATTCACACTACCTCAATGGCCTTCCATCCGTCACCTCGCCATAGGGGGGATTCTCGTATTCGCCAAAGCATGCAAAGTCGTAGTCGGCAAGCTCAATCTGCTTCTGCATGACCTTGAGAAACGTCTCCATTTCACACCATCCGTCGTCTCGCTGTCCACACTCGGCGTGGCTCTTGCCTAGTGGAATGGTGCGCTGGTTGAGGATGAAATGCACGTAGCTCGTTGGCTCGCCGTCGAGATAAATGTCGTCTTGATTCCGTTTGGGGTTGACAGGTGCAGGCGCACGAATGACTTCAATATCCAAACGGCCGGCAAATGGCTGCAGGTGTGAGAGGATGAACTCACGGTCGTGCTTGATATGTGTGGTGGGCAGCTTGTCGTTGAATTGGCGGAGGCCGAAAGCGACGAGGATGCTTAGGATACCGGCGTCGTGGCTAAAGTCCAGGTTGAGTGCTTGATCAGTGGGGAATGTGACGGTGTTGTTGTCGAGCGTGACGTTGATTTGGGCAGAGGGTGAGGTTAGGACGTGGTGTTGCATGCGGGCAAGGACTTCTTCAACGTAGCCTGTGGCACATGGCAGTTAGTATCATGAAGAAGGCTGTTACTGTGTTATTCAAAGTAGCAACTTACCAATACCAATGGCACGGCCAACAGGCGAAGCAAAGCCCGTGCCGGCTTGAAAGGTTATGTCAAGCGCATATTCGAAACCTTGCCATTCTTCGTAGGTGAAGAGGCCGCACTAGTGGGAGAATCCTAGAGAAACGGTTTCGTACGAACAGAGGGCTTGAGCATTGTCTGCAAAGTATCAGTTCAGAATCTCCAAAAGGGACTGATATTCCAAAGCATACATGTATCACTCAAAGTCCAGTCGAGATCACCAGTAATGTTGCTTCTGATTCTTTGATGGGCATCGTGAAGGTACACACCCACCCAATCCATGAATGCTACGATCAATCAGTCTCAATCAAATCTCATGGGTCCAGTTGTATTACCATCCTTGGCTACTTGCCAGTTTGTATGATTACATTGCTTGTAACCAGCCAGCGTATTGTTGAACCCTGGTGCTTCAATGGCAAGCTCCAGTGTTGCATTCTGCGTCCATTGCAGGCCAAAGAATCCCGCAAGAAAGTACTCGGCTGATTCAGTCATGCGCCGCTGCGTGGTGCTCCGTACTACAATCTTGCTCCCGTTATTTGGGTACAAGTGGCCGTACTGATAGTAGTGCAATGTGCCAGACTGAAACAGCTCATATTTGCCATTTGGAACCAGAATTTCAGCACCAAGCAGAAACTTCCAATCGTTTAGGAACGAGAGAGGGCCATGGGCGGTAAATTTCCCAGCTGCATCTGTGAGCTTCTTTCCCAAAGTCCGCTCGGCCGCTTCACCACTAACTTCGGGATAGCGACTGCCGTGGCGATGGACCATGTTGAGCCATGTTACATTGGCACCAGGCGGAATTGAATACTCATTAACCCCGAACCCGCGGGGATTGGGAAAGTAAGGGCTGATGTTTGCCAAGCTTTGGAAGATATTCTTATTATCTGGATTTCCTGGAATAGGCATTTGGGTTTCCAATGGCGTATTTGGTATGTACGACACACCGGCAAAGGGCGCTAGGTTTGTCTGTGCAAGAAACGGGGCGGCACCCGTCTGGGTTGGGCCTTGAAAATGACCATCGTCGGTTACAAAGTAGTCGGGGATGCCAGACGTCTTTGTTGTTGGCGTGGCTGCTGTCTTCATCAGCTGCCATTTCCATCAGCCGAGCAATCACCATGGCACTAACGCTTTACATCTTGTTCACCATGGATGGGAATTTGGGCTGCATGGCCACCATCTTGTGAAAGTCAGCAACTCTACTCAAATACAACCAATTTGCATTGAAATGGTTCAAAAGCAATACACGTTCAAGGACGCAATGTACGCACTTAGGCTGGCCGGATATAACGAGTTGAGCAGCTGCAGTGAGAGCTCCAGAATGCCGTGCATGGTGGGGTCGGTAGCCGCAAGCTCTTAGTGGACACGGGAGAGGCGGGTGGGTAACGTGACTTTGAGCGGCGAAAGTAGTGTGAAAAATCAAATAGTACGTAGTTGGGCGCAGATGACGGCTTGCACATGCACACGTCGCTACCGCTGCTGCAGTCGTCAAGGCCTCCGTCTCTCAACAGACAGAGAGCAGCTTGAGCTTGGACCATGTGTCGCGGATTTCTCGTGACGCAATCCCGTGGGCAGTCCAGCATGGTATGCCAGACCCATGCTGAGAACCGCCTCAGGATGCGACGGCCGAAGTTTGAAAGCGCCATACACGGGAACGAAGCGACTTGGAGTAAGATGGGTACTCGAGAAGGTCTCCTACGGCGATGCTTACCATAGATCCGGGTTGCCGAGCCCGTTGCAGATACGAGCCCATTGTTGCGGTACCTGACCGGGATGTTGGACTACGTATTGTGGCTGCCGTCCATCACAGTAGTAGTGCTCAAGCGATAGAAGGTAACTTGATGGTAGTGCTGTTTGCTTGCACGAACACGGCACTAGACGCCTTGTAGCGCAATTGCACATGCAAGTGACCATCTCTAGCGAGAGACCTGCCACGATTGAAGAAAAACGAGCATGGCACAAGGCAACTCAGCACAATTGCTCGCTGTATATGTACGCATACAGGCATATCGTACACATGTGCTTGTTGGGATGTGAAGCTTTGTCGATTTCAGATTTGCACCGACCTGTAGGTGGACATGGATTGTCTTCCCGCTGTCCACTTTAAATAGTAGTCTACCACGCGGCAAAGAAAAAAATCTGCGTTGTGTGGCCAAGACTTGAGTGGGCATGCCGACGGCAATCTCCCGGACAAGCCTGAACAACTCACAGGTTTCAAGACGGCTTGTTGGGCGATGCAGATGGATGATTCAGGTTGGTCGGTGGGGGGATTGAGCAGTGTCCATGTGACTACTATACTATCGTGGTGCAATGCAGGGTCCGATGGAGTCAGAAGGTGACCCGTCTTGGCCAGCAGAGCTGTGCAAAGCTCATTTTGGGCAGGTGCTTCACACGTATTAGACACCAAAGGGGCCAAAAAGAGGTACATGCATCTTCAGCTCCGCTGGTGAGATGTGTTGGCAACGGCGTTGCATACATGGACATGTATGTGTATGTATATATATGGAGGAGCTGCTGGCAAGGTGGAGAGTCGGACGGACCAACTTGATGACTCTTGTCGTGACGTTGTCGAGTTGGAAGAGTGTCCGAGAGACATTGGGAGAGGGCGGGTAGGTAGCAGGCACACGAGAGGACAGAAGCTTTCCAAGCGGTTGAAGCTAAGAGAGTGATACGCCCGGCCAAGTGAATGCGGAGGAGGGCCACAGTTGGTATAAGGTGGAGGGCTATAGGGGACGCGTAGTCGCCGGTGGTTCTGCGGTGCTTTGTATCCAAGTCTTGGGACCTGTCGTAATGCCATCTCGACATGCATGACTTGCAGCACGACAGGTCAGTTACGGCTTTGGTCGCCGTTAATCTGCAACAGTGGCAGCAACAGCGGCATCCCAAGACAGCATTGGCGATGCAGCCCTACCGGAGATATTGTCCAATGACTCCACAGCCAATGGCACGGCGGCACTTGAGGGGCTAGTGGTTGGCTTGGAGGAGTAGATTAGTTGCTCTATTGGGTAAATTCGATAATTTCAGGTGTTTTGAGAGTTGCGTGATTGCAAGCTCCAACCCGCCGTCGGGCCGACTGTGGTGTCGGGGTTGTTGGTGGTGGTGGTGGGAAGAAGCCGGATAGCGCGATTGCATGAATCAAAGCCGGTGTGCTAAAGAACCACCGAAGAACGAAAAGTGGGCACTGCTAGGCACATGCCGGACCAACGATGGTGCAGAGCGAGCGGGGACGACAGGTTAGCAGCATGCAAACGCATTCAGCAAGAGCGTTAGGCGAAGGGGTCGACTTTGGCTAGTGCGCGTGCTATTTACATTGTAGGTGTGGCGCGCGAAGGGGGGCATAGGCAGGAGCCAAGTTGGGCGTGGGCGTGGGCGTGTGGACGTGGGCATGGGCACGTCACGGGACATGAGTTGTGCGAGCTGCGGGCATAGTTACAGTGGAGCGGCAGAGGGCAATTTGCAAAGCATGTGTGTCGGTGCGTGGGATGGGAGGGAGATCTGTTGGGTCAAGTCCAAAGTATAGGACAGGATGCGACTGTCGTCTGAATGACCCCATACTGATCGTCATTGACTCGATACATACTCGAGACTTAGGCTGGGGGACAGACGCGTGGTGCAGGTCCAAGGGGTGAGGGGGCGGACCGACTCAAGGGTTGGATATGCAAAGATGGTATCAAAACCGACGGTTACCGAGCATGGTCCAAAGTTGGCGCTAGATGCATGTCAGCCGCTGCTGGTGTTTGCAGTCGTTAGTGACGAATGTATAGTAATCCTACTTACGACTCCAAGGGGCCGTGTTGCCGAACGATGGTCGGGGTAGCAGAAACAGCGGTGACCATGTACATGTGTACATGCTATTAAAGCATCATGTCGGTAAGTAAGTGTGTGCAGTAGCATGCACATGTAGTGTCTGCAGCGTTCACTCAGAGTGCGGTAGAGCACGAGTAGAGGGGCTAGTGAGATGCGGATCGCACCGGGGAGGTGGGCCAATCTGCGTGGTGAAACGACCTGTCGACAATGGAAGAGATGGCTAAGCCAGTCAGAAGCGTGGGGAGGGAGGCTTTTTTTGTTTTTTTCCTGACTTCACGTTTGGACGTTGAACGTCATGATCCTAGGGATCGGCAGGCGGGCACAATGAGGGACAATTTGAGGTAAGCGGGCGGGGGGCGGGAAAAGCTCCATCCAGTCAATGGATGGAATGTGCGGCAGTAGTTGGAGCGAGTTGGAGAGCAGATGATTTGGCTTGAGCGGGCGCAGGCTGAATGGAGCAATGGAGGCACAGCGAGCGGTCGGGTCAGCGTCCGGGGTCGGGCAGGCATGGGTTGATCAAACACCAATTTCGTCATTGGCCGTGGCGGCGTGTGCGGAGTCGGGGAGACGGGGCATGTCGGTGATTTTGTAGACAGGAGAGGGAAGCGGAGAGGTACACGGACATGTGCAGTGGGTGGTTATGTAAGTCGAGTAGTATAGTTACTTGGTATGGTGTAGTGTAGTGTAGTGTAGCGTAGTGTAGTAGATGAGTGGTGCGAGGCAGTGCGGAGGAGTGCAGATGTGGCGTCGTCGACTGGCAACGAGGGACGGATTGGTTACGACGGGATTTGGGAGAATGCCATCAAGGGCAAAAGTGGCAGGCAGTTGCAGAGGCCGCCGCAGGGTCCTGAGCCGATCTTGTACACGTCGAGATTGGGCGTGCATGGCCGACGAAACACAGAGTCAACAATGGCGGATCAGCGGGCCAAAGCCAATCAAGCCCGCCGTCGAGTGTGCGCGTGGCCACAACGACCCGCAAATGCCTTGGGGCGAGGAACCGGTGTGGATGAAAAGGACAGTCTGCACGCTGGGTGGGCATGTGCAGGGCGGTGCAGTGCAGTGCAGTGCAGTGCAGTGCTGTATACATGTGTGCGGGTGCCATGTAACGAGTACATAGTAGCACCAGATACGGGGTACCAATGTAGCAATGTACCTATATACATACATACATAGATACTACACCACAGAATCGTCATTGTAGTAGCTAGCAGACAGAGTTTGGGCGGCTAGCGGAACCCATGGCAGCGTTCGGTGGTGATGTCAGCCAGCCGCAAGGGGAAATTGATCGGTGTCGCCCATGTCGGCCGTGTCGTGCACAAGGCTCAGACGACGTCATGGCCCTTTTCTCTCTCCCTCTCCCTCGCCCTCGCCCTCGCCCACCGGCTGCCGTCACCACCACCGCTAAGCCTTTGCGCACCAGCCTCGTCGGGCCCCTCCCAACTGCTGCGAATACTAATGCTAATCCCATTACTATCATACACTACGTACTCCCCGTCTCATCACTTACGCGCATGTCCATATTTACATGCGTCGTCCTGCTGCTGCTGCTGCTGCTGCCACTGACCACTGACCACTGCCCGTTGCCCAATCCCCTCTCACACCCACTTTACCACTCCCCTACCCCCTCGTGGCCACAGCTGTTCCGCCATCTCATACGCTAATTGACCGCTTCAACTCATCCGACTCCTTGGGGTGGGTGCGCTGCCCCTGCCCTTGTCTTTGAGTTGCCGATCGTCGCACCACCAAGCTGCTGCTATTGCTGCTGGTGCTACGGTTGCTGCTGTGCCAGAGAATCGTCGATAGCAATCAAAAAGCAAATCAACCTCACAGTCCACACGCTACACACTCATAGGCTGCCGCCGCCGTCGCCGCCGTCTCTGCCCCAGGCCTGCGCGACACGCCCGGTCACGAGGCGGGTGCCGTCATCAAGGGCCAGTGCTCCGCCCGCCATTGAGCATTTTGCCGCCGCCGCACCCCCCGGCCTCGAGGTGGACAGGCCGCTGCCATCGCAGGGATTGTCGTCTCGGGAGACCCTGAAGCATCATCGGGTTTAGCTCCTGACCAGGGCTCCACTACTCTAGCATCCTTCCACAGCGACCGTGTGCCTCTGCCTTGGCTTGAACCCACCCACGGCATCCTCTTGCCGGTCCTCGCCCACCCGTCTCCGTCTCCGTCTCTAAACCTACACCTCGAGAGCCGCACTTCGACTGTCCCGTGCAATGATCCCACACATTTCCCTCTCTTCCTACCCGCCTCCTTGCTCCCCGAACGACGCCTCTCTCGCCTACCATCATCATCATCACCACCACCACACTCACAGTCAGACCGACACCATGTCGACCTCGTCGTCAAACTCGTCAGTCAGCGAAAAGGACGTGGCTGCCGACCCCACCCTCCAGCCCAGGCCCCGTCTCGGCAGCAGAAAGTCGAGCGGCACCATCATAATACCCCGCGACAGTCCAAATGTCGAAATGAAGGAAGAGGAGGAAGAGTATGATGACGGCGATGCGCGCACAATGAGTCCCCGTCGTAGCAGCGAGGAAATTGAAAAAATGGGTCAGGATGCTCGACAGGCCCTCATAGAGTGAGTCCTTCTCCTCTCCTCCCTCTACCCGCCGCCATCGGCTAACCTGTCCTCGCCAGACAAGCAAAAGCCCTGCAAGCTAGTCTCATGGAAATTGTCGACCGCGTTGAAGTTGTCAAGAGCGAACACGAAAAGCTCGAGGGCGGCAACAAGTTCCTGCAATCGTATGTCGCTCCTTCCTCGCCTACCACGTGGCACTGTACTGACCCACTCTAGATATATTGGCGAACTCATGCAAACAAGCAAGCTCACCTCCGCCGGCGCTGGAAAGGCCACAAAGGTCAAGGGCAAGGGCAAGCCCATCAAATAACAATCAGAGCTCGTCCACACTCACACGCGCCCGGTGAGCCTCTACTGTGTCGGCCTCCCTCCCAATCCTCGACTCATCATGGACTCCACGCGCCTATCCAACCCTCACTACCACGCAATCATGATGGTCTACTGTCTAACATACTGACCACCATGACCGCCCGCCGCACACATACATCTATCCATCTATCCTTCCAATACACACGACACTCACATGTTGACCGCGTTTACGAGCATCTGCATAGCGGTACAGGCCTGGGAACCGGCGTTCATCATCATCGTCATCATCGTTCCAATTTTCCATTCAGCCTACAGCTTCTGTCTTACCACCTTACGACAATAATCTCGACTGGGCTCTTGCTTGGCCTGTTGCTTTGTCGCTCAACTTGATTTCTTTTCTGCGCATATACCACGGCACAATTGCACCCGCTATATCTTGGGTCTTTGCAATTGCTGGCTGACACTTTTGATTTTTTAAACAACTTTTTTGTTGCGTCATGACCAAATTCGCGGTGTTCTTGGGAGTTGTATTTGTTTTTTTTTGTTTTTTCTGGTAATTCGATTCTATCCCACAGATGGCGCATAGCTCACATGACATGCACATCGTTTCTTTTTTCCAACGCTCCAACGGGAAGAAGAATGCTTTTCTTTTTAGAGACCAAGCCTTCAACCCGGGGGATTGCTTGCAAGCATGCTTAAGATGGAGAGGGAGAGAGAGAGACAGCGAAAGAATATTCATTTGGTTAGGCAAACTATATTTACTGGAGAAGGGGGAAATGGCGTTTTAGGTCAAGGCTTTTTTTTTCTCTTCTCCGGAAGAGTAGAAAAGCCAAGGAAAACCTTATTTTTGTTTTGACATGAGCTTATATTTTTTCCGATGGCTTTTTTTTGCACAACTTTTGGGCAGATTGGAATAAATCACATATCCATCTGATTTGTTTGCATAAGTTTTGTATTCGTCAGGATCCTGGTAAACATGTACTACTTACGTATCCACGTGTGCCCCCCTATGTATATCCTTATTTCCTATATTATACCAATTATTGTTTGTTATTGTTTATAAATTATAGGAGGGGCAAGTAATACCCCCCCCCCTTCTCACGTCATCTCTCTTCTTTGCTCTCAAGTCACACATGCTCCCCCCCGCCCCCCTGATTATTTTCTCCGACGTACGTATGTATGTACGAACGGCACACTTTCATCGCGATCATCGATATCTAATCCTATTTCTCCCTCCAATCACTTACACACACCGACTCGATTTCTTTTTTTTTACTAAGGAAAAAATTAAACTCCATAACGAAATAAAAAGCCCCACATTTCTCTTTCTCTCTCCCACCCGTTTCCTCTCCCCCAATTCCCTACCGTTCCTCTCGCCCGGTTCCCGTACAAACCGTAACTTCCTTCACCAATACACCCACGCCCATCACCTTGCCCTACAAAACCGTGAGAACCCCACTAATCATCACATCCACATCTCCTTGTAGTGGTGTTCAGGGACGATCCGGAAGCTTTGTCCTCTTATATGGTGATTGCAGGTATCATGGGGGTATGAGTGCGTGTTTGTTCGTGTCAGCGTGTAGGGGGGAATGGGATATGGTAAGCGAGAGAGAAAAGAAGAAGTAGTTGATAAGCTTGGAATAAGCTTTAGGATACGGGGATTATTCCCAGGAACGGGGATAGGAGGGGAGCTTGGTTGGTTTATGCAATGTCTAACGCGGAAGGGGAGGAGGAGGATGAGGAGAGAGGGTTGGAAGGCAGGAATATGAATGTAGAGAATCTTGGTAAACTGCATGTTGTATACACGGGGCTTGGGAATAGTGGGGGAAAAAAATTGCTTGTGGTAAGTATCAATTTTACGTATATCGTGTAACTATTTAGGTTAATGAAGACGTCCAAAAAAATATATGTACTTGTACTCTCATCATGCCCTTCTGCCCTGCATACTCCCTCTTCCCCCCCCCCCCCCCCCCCCCCCCCCCCCCCCCCCCCCCCCTCTCTCTCTCTCTCTCTCCTTTCCCCCCTTCCGGAAAAAAAAAGAATGACAAATAAGAAAACAAAGTAAAAAAATCCAGTCACTCTATTCTACCAACCATTTCTTATATCCGTAAACCCTTCCCTTACAAAACCGTGCGCAAAACCCATCCCTTCCCCCCCTCCCATTCCCTCACACACACCCTTTTAAGAAAAAAGATCGACACCTCCATCATCACTCACTGTGCCGCATACCCGAATTAGTCTCACCCTTAGTTTGCCACTTTCACCTACGCTTACCTTCTCCAACCTAAACTAACGGGTTACTTTCGGACTTAAGATCGTCAGAGTGACGATATGCGTATTTATGAGGAAGAGGGAAAGGGATGAGGGATGAAGAGGGGGTTGATGATGAATCTGGATATGCACGAGGATGGTTTGTATCTGGGAAAGATAGGAAGGGGGGGGAGCAGGAGAGTTATTTACTGAAGAGATGAATGGGTATGTTGGATGTGTAAGGGGTCGTTGGTTTAGATGTCTGGGAGGAATGGGGGATGCGATGGTTTACTTTTACTTTTTTTCTTCTTCTACTACGGCTAGACACATCTTCGTTAGTCGCAAGACGGAATATTGTAGTGAGATTTTTCATCCATACCGGTGAAAGAAACACAATCTTTTTTTTTCCTTTGTCAAAAAATGTATAAAGGATGCATACACAGATACGACGACATAGATGCTCACAAACCCCCCGTCCTCCCCACCGTCTTCATATTTGGGAGAGAGTGAACCTTCGTTTCTACAAAGACTATTGCGTAGTTGGGTTGCATGCATGACGGTTCAAAGTTATATCGAATGTGCTGAATGCAACTGGCTTACGTATTTCTATGACTATTCCCACTTCATAAGCAAGTTGACGTGACATCTTTGCTAATGTGACAGTGAATAATACGGACTACCCGAAGAAGTGTTTACCTGAAGAAAGATACAAGGAAGAGGAAAGGAAAAGATGGGATAGAGAAGATGTGAGAGAGTATAACACTGTAATTAGCTAGCTAAAAAAATAATAATGTCTGTCTTAGGAATCAAACAACGAATCAACGTTCTTCGTATCGCGTTTTCCATGTACAGAGTAGCTTACACATCAGGCCTCTCTTTCTTGTTGTAGGAGAGATGATTGAATTTTGACTTGGAAGTTCCATCTCTCACTCCTACGTACATACACATCGCGTAACCAGTTGAATGATCCAGCTCACCGCCTAGCAAACACCCACAAGCCTTCCATTTTTACCTTCCTCAGCTGCTACAAACACACCATATCACATACACATTCCCTGACATAGCGAACAAAATAAAACTTCAAAGACACTCACAATCACAACCATAGTCACTCACAAAAGACGAATATTAAAATCTTCTTTGTCAAATTCGACATAAGTGTACACAAAATACAGGTCTCGCATGCTGTTGGGAGAAAAACGCTCACAGCTGCCAACTCTATAACTCTACACCGACACACACCCTACTTTCTCCTCTTACTTACACACATGCTTATGAAAGCATCCTGCTCATGTCGTTCCTGATACGGTTGTAGTCCAAAAGACCCTCAATCTGTCCAACGGCAGAAATGGCAACGTCCTTGTCCCATAGCCTGTTGCGGGCGAATTGCATCACATCCTTCTCTGTAATGCGACCAACAACGCGCTCAACCTCCTCGGGTGATAACCGGCGGCCGGTAGTAACAATCTGGCGACCAATGTCCTCGGCAACGGCAGTGGTACCGTCAAGAGCAAGAAGGATGGAGGCCTTGAGCTGGGCCTTGGCGCGCTCAACCTCGGCGGAGCTGACGTTCATGGAAAGGCGAGTCCACTCGCGGAGGGTGAAGTGGACAAGGTCGTCAAGCTGGGTCAGGTTGGAGCTGTTGAGGTAGATACCCCAGAGACTATGACGTATTAGCATTATTCTTCCAAAAACACTCGTTCAACAACATACCCAGTGTCAGAGTAGCTGGTGGAGAAGCTCATGAAGCTGTTGGCCAAACCGTGCTGGGAGACAAAGTTGCTGAGCTTGCTACCAAGGTAGTCAGAGGTACCCATGGCGCGGTCCCAGTTACCAACAATAGCCTGTGTGACGAGCGCAGTGAAGTAGTCGGGGTCGCTCCAGCTCACACCCTCAACGGCAATGGCAATGTTGGCGGTACCCATGGTGTCATCACGGAGACGAACCTCGGAGCCAACAAAGTCGGGCTTTTGCTTCTGCTCAGCGGCAAGAGACTTGGCAGAGTAGTCCTGGGGCTCGGAGGGCAGGTTGGCAAAGTACTTCTCAGCAAGGTCGACGAGCTGCTCGTGGGGAATGCCACCAGCACCGACAAGGACCATGCGGTCAGCAGTGTAGTTGGTCTTGATGTAGTTCTCGAGATCGGCGCGCTGGATGCTCTGGATGTTCTCCTTGGGTCCGAGGATGGTGCGGCCGAGGGGCTGACCCTGGAAAGCGGTGGCGTGAAGGTGGTCGAAAACAACCTCCTCGAGCTGCTTGTCCACCTCTTCCTGCTCACGGAGAATGACATCGCGCTCGCGCTCAATGGCGGCGGGCTCGAGCTTGGAGTTTTGGAGGATATCAGAGAGAATGTCGACGGCGGCGGGGACATCGTTGTTGAAAGCCTTGGCGTAGTAGACGGTGTTTTCGCGCTGTCACGTCATCAATATGCGGCGTCCAGATGCGTTCCCCATCAGGCGCAACGTACCGAGGTGTAGGCGTTCAGGTGTCCGCCCATGTTCTCAATCTCGAGTTCCAATTGCTGCTGCGTGCGCTTCTGGGTGCCCTGTTTGTCTCTACATCAGCGTCCTGTCGCCCCGCACTGCCATTGGCGGCCTGCCGCGCATCCGTGTATCCGTACCTTGAAAGCAAGATGCTCCAAGAAGTGTGCAGTTCCATTGGTCTTGTCCGTCTCTGCGCGGCTTCCTGCGTCGATCCACACACCGACGGTGGAGGTCTGGGCCCACGGGGAGTGCTCGGTAGCAATCTGCACACTGGGGTCAATTGCAGTCCTGCGAGTAGGTAGCGTTTGTGGCATACCGTGAAGCCGTTCTTGAGCGTGGTCGACTCGGTCTTTGCGCCGTAGGAAATGGGCGTGGCCAGGCCTCGTGTCAAAGGCGACTGTCTCGATGACTTGACGGCGTTGATGGCGGAGCGAGAGCGCATGCTCTGCTGCAGGTTGAGTGCGAGCCGCCGGGAAGCCATTGCGTCTGCTCGCTGTGCAGGGAAGGAATGGAGATGGGGCGGTGATGGGGGGTTGGGGTTGAGATTCGTCGAAGCTGCAACTTCTTGGCCCTAGGTGAGGTTGATTGACGTTCGAAATCTGCTGTCACGGGACTTCCCGATTCCCGCCGCTGGCCAATGAGCGCCGCAGGGACGTCAGCATCGCTCATCCGAGGCATTGTCGTCAACATCTGTTCGACCGTCCCGAGATATCGTCTTGCGACCTCCCACTCCCACTGCACCTGTTCCCTGCCAGCTGCCCCTCTCCAACCACTGCAATGGCTTCCTTTATGCGCCCTGGCCTTCTCAGGCAAGCTTACACCAAGCCCCAAGCAGCGCACCGCATGCTGTCCACGGCCAGCTCCACCATCAACCGCCCGCTCGCCCACCAACTTCGCCCAGCTTTCCAGCGCTCAGTCATTCCCCAGTCCACGCGCGTCGCCGCCTTCCACGCCACCCAGCGCAACCAGATTCTGCCCCCGCTGCCACAGAAGATTGTCGGAACCACCAACGACCCTGTGCCTGTACCCGAGCCAGACTATGCCCATGGCAGCTACCACTGGAGTTTCGAGAGGTATGCTTGACGAGCTGCAAGAGGATGATTGCAACTCTTGCATCATATGATGTGGCACCACAAACTGACATTGGCGTAGGATCGTCTCCGCCGGTCTGATTCCTTTGACCATTGCGCCTTTTGCTGCTGGATCGCTGAACCCACTTACTGACTCTATTCTCTGCGCTCTCTTGGTCATACACTCGCACATTGGCTTCGAGTATGTATAAGTCTAGTCCCACCAGAATAAATCGACGGCTAACGTGTTCAGGGCATCCATCATCGACTACTTCCCTAAGAAGCGAGTGCCCCTCCTTCGCAACCTCTCCATGTGGGCTCTCCGCATTGGAACCGTCACTCTTGGTATCGCTCTCTACTCCTTCGAGACCAACGATGTTGGCATCACCGAGGCTGTGGCCAGGCTGTGGCATGCGTAGAGTAGATGGGGAACTACATGCATGTGAAAAGAAAGTGGGGTAGGGAACTATGTACATCTAAATACAAACCAAGGGCGTGGTTTTTTCTTGTTCAGAAATATGAGCATTGCTGTTTCATATACATGATTGAAACTTGGAGCTTGTGACTGTGTTCTTCCACTTGCCACTCGATGCATCTCTCAGCCTAGCCTGTTCAACCACCTGTTTGCAGACACGCACTAATTCGACTAAGCAACATGCCACATCCTCAGTACTATCACTTACTATTTCTAACCCCCCGCACTTAGCAACCTCTGCCTATCTCATTCCACGTCATTACACTATCCTACAAGTCAGTACTTCACTTTGCAATAGACAACACGTCATGCCTGGTCATGTGTCAATGAACAATCTCTGAAAAGAAGCAAATAGTCTTGAATTATAAGCCTTCTGAGGGGATTTGTGGGGAATCGCAGAACCAGAATGAGCATCTACTATACTCTCTGACCATGCCAAAAATGAACGTTGACGTCAACATCTAAGTCTTAGACCGGGGCAACCATGAACGTTGAGGAACATACAAGACGTGACCGTATATGACGCATACTGGTGGGAGTGGACAGGACAATGGAAAGAGCCTTGGGCGCATGAAGTGTGGACAGGATGGAAATTCAGAGTCTAACAAAGCGCGCCCGGCCTGGAGCACGCTAGGATATACCCTTGATGCCACCAGAAAATGATGACTAAAACATCATTGACTCTTACCGTGATACACCGCACCATTAACCCCTGCCGTTTTTGCGTCTGATATCATGTTTTCGACTTTATGCCTTGGCTTCAGCGGGAGCCTCGCTGCTCTCAGCCTTGGGCGCATCGGTAGCAGGCTCGGCGGCGGGGGCGTCACCAGAGGGCTCGGCCTCGGACGATGTCCAGAGGGTCTAGAATTGATTAGCATTTGAATTGCAACAAAAGTCCACGTCAGGGGCTTACCAGGTTGTCCCTGAGGAGCTGCATGATGAGGGTAGAGTCCTTGTAGCTCTCCTCAGACAGGGTGTCGAGCTCTGTATTGACGTTAGCTTTTGTCTATGAAATTTGCATCCTACACGTACCAGCAATGGCATCGTCGAAAGCCTGCTTGGCCAATTGGCAAGCCTGGTCGGGCGAGTTGAGGATCTCGTAGTAGAAAACGGAGAAGTTGAGGGCAAGTCCGAGGCGAATGGGGTGAGTAGGGGCCAGGCTGGAGGCGGCAACCTCGGTGGCGGCCTTGTAAGCCTCAAGCGACTTGTCGGCAGAGGTCTTGCGCTTGTCACCAACAGCGAACTCGGCAAGGTAGCGGTGGTAGTCACCCTTCCTGTAAGAGCACAACGTGGTTAGCAAACGCCCTCAAACATGGCACGTATTGAACCCCTTACATCTTGTGGTAGAAGACCTTGGACTCGCCGCTCTCAGCAGAGGGGATCAAGTGGCCATCAAGGCACTCGAGAATGTCCTCGCAGATCTTGGCCAACTCGGCCTCGATCTTCTGGCGGTACTCCTTGATAAGACCAACCTGGGCCTCGTTGCCCTTGGACTCCTCCTTCTGCTCAATGGAGGTGACGATTCTCCAGGACGCGCGGCGAGCACCGATGACGTTCTTGTAGGCAACAGAAAGGAGATTTCGCTCCTCGACGGAGAGTTCCTGGTCTGCGGAGGCAACGGCCTTCATGTTCTCGACCATCTCTGCGCCATCCTGTCAGTTCGTGGAGTTTGGGCTTGTGGGACAAGTGCTTACCCTCATAGCGCTCGGCCTGCTCGGCCAGCTTGGCTAGGTATACGGAGTCTTCGTAACCCATTGTGAAGTCTGCGTGCACGACTGTTAGCTGACGTGGACTGGTGTAGAGCGCGGATAGAGCGCAATCGGCTGCTATCGCAGTTGTTGAGCGGTAAGATGCTCAGTGTGCGCTATTGCCGTGGTGAAGGGAAAATCGCCCTGATGCTGTCGCTGTTGGGTGCTTGGTGTGCTGTGGTAAAGGGTCCGGAGAATGCGGCAAGTGGAGCTGCGTGCAATTGCTTGCGTAGCCTTTGCACCTAACAGCGGTGGGCGCAAAGAGGGGCGGCTCAAGCTCTCACTCACGGCCCCCCGAAGAGAGCGCCGAAGCACACCGCCGCGACAATGACCATGGCGAGTGTGGGTGCGGGCGGTTTGGGCGAGTGGGAGTCATCAGGGGCACAGGTGGCGATGTCGTTGTTGTCGATGTTGCGGCAAAGGGCGCAAATTGCAGCCGTCTACGGCTTTTGGGGGGGTGCGTGACGAAATGCGGTGACTGACTTACGAAGAGAAAGTAGATGTGGAGAGGGGGTGGGTTTGCAGAAGCGTGGGTTGCAGAAGACGGCGAGGTGGTGAGGACAAGAAAACGAGGTGAAGGAGTTGTGGTCAAGGGCGGCTTGGGGTTGAGTTATCAGAGGAGGGGAGTTTGGAGGGTGAGAGAACCCGACTGGGCTTGGCGTCGATCACGCCTGCCCGTCCTTGGTCGTTTCACACGGCCCAGAACAAGCGCGACCTTTGCCTCTTGACAGGCGAACAGAGCCAGTCACCGCCAGAAAGGCCATTGTCTGCCTAGCCTCTGCCTGTGTCTGCTCCTTGGGCCCGGTGAGGCTGAGGCCTCCCTCGCACTGCATTCCAGGCGCCTATCCATGTACACATGTACTATGCGAGTGGTAGTGTACATACACATGGACATACAGACGCTGGCTGCCCCACCGGACACGCCTTGGATGACAGCTACTAAGTACAAGGACTCGACTTTGCCGCCAGGCCTTGGGCATCGCCCTTTGTTGCCTCGACGAGCCATGCATAGGCTCTCTGGGAGCCCGTTGAACGCCATGCCTACCGTGGCCCAACCGTGTGTCCATTACTTGTTTTGGACTGTCGAGCTGAGTCCATGCCCGTGTGGTTGCTGTGCATGCAGCCGCACCCATCTCGCTCCCCCCCATGGCACTTGTTTTTTGGCCGTAGATCCAGGACTCGCGCAGAAAATGCAATACCAGAATGCTGTCAAACCCAAATCACAACACCATTGCATGTGCAGCCAGCAGTCACTTTAAGTCTTCACTACGGCCTCATCAGGCGTGCCCAGTTTGCATGGCATCAGGGTCCAAGTGGGCATCTGGCCTGCCTTGAGCCACCTTGATCGCATCACGTGACTTCGTCGACCAATGACGCAACGTCCAAGCTCCTAGGCATCGGTTGTGATCACTCCACCTCAACACTCAATTGCATAAGACCACACCAAGACCTTCCAATCCCTCAATCCCCTGCTCTTCGCATAACACTTACACAATGCTTCGTACATCCATCATCAAGAGCGCGCGCTCAATCGCCGCCCCCCGCTACTTCTCCGCATCCGCTCTGCGCTTGACTGAGGGAGCTACCGGCTCTGGCACGTCGAGACCTACAGGAACTGCTGGCGGGTAAGCAGACTTGCCAGCCTCAACTACCACCAATTGAGTACATACTAACTGTATCGATAGTGACGCCTTCACCAAGCGTGAGGCTGCTGCCGAAGAGCTCTACATTCGTCAGGAAGAGAAGGCCAAGTACGCCCACCTCAGTACCCTGGACGGTATTTTGCGCGCATCGCATCATATACAGGGTACCTGTAAATATCCTGGAACGCACTGCTGACGGTACACAGGCTTTTGGGAATCAAGGCGAAGCTCAGGCAGCAGAGGGAGCACATGGATGAGCTGGACAAGCACATGTCAGTGATACCAATGACTCTCAGTTACGAGTACAACCAGACTAACCGTGATATAGCGACCAAGTCATCAAGGAAGCCGAGGCTTCCGGGCAAGGCGAGCAGAAGTAAATCCATATCCGACGTTACCAAAACACATTTCGCTGGGACAACCCATGCGTTTTGATGACCCTATGACGAAATAAAATAAACACCTTTTTTGAGCTTCTAGTTTCGCAGTCAGCTTTTCCTTGCTTATCGTCTTCAATTTGCATTCTCAGCTTTGCCTCTCTTTGCAACTCAAAAAAAGGGCAGTAAATGTCTACTACATGAGCCGGGGTCCTCCTCCGAACACGTATATGAGGTGGGAGGACGGAAAGATACTCAAGGCAGACTGACGTCGGCTCACTATATGGACGACAAAATCATGCTTACTGACCAGGTCTATCTTTACAAAGTTTCTGTTATGCGTTCTGCACTCTCGGCGATATCGGAATCAAGTTTGATCGAGCATATCGGCACAATGCCTGGTGGCTGGCGGGCGTGCGTCATGCGGAGAGAGATCAAACCCCTGGCATTTCACTACATAAGCTTATCAGGGTCCCCTAGATTTGCTTCCGGACAAAGCAAATCTCCACATTCCGTACTTGACCGCTAGGCATTTCGCTGCAATACTGTGCTTGCTCGACGGTTGACGACGAATCATTGGCTCATTCTCACCCAATTCTTGAGTCACTAGACTTCTACCTGTATCTCAGTCTAATAAATGCCCTGCTTTTCACCAGCGGCTCTTCGGCTTCAACATGGTCCGTCGTTTTTCAACATTCAGCCACTATGGCAGCTTTTCAAGGCTGAAAGTACACGCGTCTACAGGCTCGTCATTATCGGCCCATCTCGGCGCGCCTCTGGTGGCAAGATGCTGGTAGTTTTGCTTTTGTGCCTATGTAAAAACAGGGCGGGCTTGCCAAGAACTCGTACAACAGGGGTGTTCCATTACACGCACACAGAACTTGAACGTTGTTACTGCCAACTGTAAAGACCCTGGTTCGCACTACAGCCGCACGCAACTACCCATGCCTCGTAAAGATCTTCCGGTACCACAATTTGCCCGACCCGACCAACCTTGCGAATGTCTTGGCTATCTTACAGCAGATCTCATCCCGCGTCTGTCACGTGATCGACTAGGTAATGCATGCTCATCTTACAGCATTACCCATGCTACCACAGTGCTTCTTCGGATTCTTCCCGTTTCAAGATCAGCCAAGGACGTCATTCGCATCATCGGTTTGAACTCGATATAGAAACCCTGGATCTTGTGCCCACCTGTTGCTTCCATCGACGAATAAGACCTGGTGAGGGGGGCTGGGTCATCACCGAGAGGACTTTCAAGGGACGGTATCGGACGTATTCTGGCGGTGAAAAGCCACTGGCAGGGTCTCCCTCAATGCCTTGGCCATTAGCATATATGATCTTCGGTGTTCCCTCAGGAAGAACGACCATATGCTCTGTTCAACGTTCCAATTCCAACGTACCTACAGGGATCCTGCATCTCTGAACAAAACTCCTTCATCGATTTACTTGCCGAGGTTGTGCATATACTACAAATCTCCAAGTTCCACCCAAAACCATCAACAAGCCGAATCAATTCATGTCGCGATCGAGCAGTACCTTCCGTCGTTTCTATACGGGGCAAACCCCTGATAGATCGATAGCGGATTCTCCTGCACCGCTGAATCTCACTCCATCCAGTGAATCCAGACAGGAGTTTTTACGTACTCCTGTACAAGCATATACAGGACGTCTCGACCCTCACGTAGAAAGCGAACCACCAAGTGTGCCCCCGCTCGCGCCCACACGTCCTAGAAGGGCATCTCAGCCTGTACCTTTCAATCCCTCCAATCACCCAGTACCCTCTGTAGAGGAATACCCAGAAGAAGGCCAGGCACCCCAGGCAGATCCATTTCGTACCAACAGACAACATGCACGCCCTCCAGCTTCGTACAACAACTTCCCCGAGCAGAGTGCACGGTATGGAGTAATGCCTAGGAATAACTGGGATGCCAATGCGTATCCTGCCCATGCAGACAGTCATGGTAGGCCAAACTACGAGATGTACTACCCCTACTATCAGGAGGCATATGGACGATATTCTAGTGGACAGGGTACCGGTGGGGGTAGAGGGCCTCCACCCCCGATACCAAGTGCAGAGGTGGCAATGAGATTACCTTGGATGATTTGGATGGGAAGTAATGCAAAGAACCGTAAGTGCATCATAATGGTCTGTTGCGAACAACAAATAGCCTTGTTACTAACTCTCGTATGATAGACTTTGTAGCTTTTGTGGGAGAGTTCGTCGGCACCACAATGTTTTTGTTTTTTGCCTTTTCAGGCACTCAAGTCGCCAATATCAGATCTGCTGCTGCACCCCAAGACAACACCACGACAGGTGAAGCTGCTGGTTTCTCACCTATTGTTCTTTTGTACATTGCCCTAGTTTTCGCGTTCTCCCTCATGGTCAACGTCTGGGTCTTTTTCCGAATCTCTGGTGGCTTGTTCAACCCGGCTGTCACGTTTGCTATGCTGCTGTGTCGCGCACTGAGCCCCATCCGAGCTTTCTTGTTATTTTCGGCACAAATGGTCGGAAGTATATTTGCAAGTTACTTGGTCAGTGTGTTGTTTCCAACAAACTTTAATGTCAGGACGACTTTGGGTCAGGGAACGAGTCTGGCACAGGGAACGATGATTGAGGCTGTTTTGACAGCAGAATTGGTCTTTACCATTTTTATGCTAGCAAAGGAGAAACACAAGGGTATGTTGATTGTTGTACTTCTCCCACTTTACGCCACAACCACTAACACTTTTCTACACAGCAACCTTCATTGCGCCCGTGGGAATTGGTCTAGCTCTCTTCATTGGCGAGCTCGTAGGCGTCTACTACACCGGTGGTTCCCTAAATCCCGCGCGCTCCTTTGGCCCCTGTGTGATTACGGGTGTCTTCGACAGAGACCACTGGATCTACTGGGTGGGCCCCGGTGTCGGCGCCATCCTCGCCCTGCTCTTCTACCAGTTCATCAAGATTCTCGAATACGAAGTCGCTAACCCGGGCCAAGATGACG